CCCCCCAAAATCCCCCCCCCCCCCCCTTCCCCCTTCTTTAATTTGTCATTTACCAGCTTATTGTTTAGGAATACCCCAGAGAAGGAAACACATTATATTATTAAGGATAATTACATGAGGAGCTGGAATATCCAGTTAGCTAGCAAGTCTGCAGTGCAATTTGATTCTCTATAATAGTGTGAGAACTGAAATTGTCTTCCTGTTTTATCTTTTATAATTTGTTCTAGCAATTGAACTATCTGCCAAAGGTGCTCCAAGATTCAACTCCAATTTCCTTGTATCCATTGTCCAATGCACCACTAACCAGTTAAAATATTCATAGCTTCTGTCAGGTTGTTTGTGCAAATACCAAAGAAAGTAGTACATATGCTCAAACAATATATGGTCCAAAAAAAACACATATATCCTAGAGATGTCATCAGAAGGCAGTTTGTTATGTAGTGATCTTCATTTTTTTTTAAATGGAACTTTGGAAGGGACCTTTGATACGAGTCACCCGATTCTGGAAACATAGGTAGTAAAATTTCTGGCTTGTTTGAATAATTGCTAACGTGAGAAGGGATCTTCATTGATTATGGTCCAAATAGGATGATCTAGCCATAAGGCTAATTCTATTCAGTATTTTAAAGGGAATAAATTTCATCATAAATATACAATTAAGTAGTTTCATTTGTACCAAATATAGCCAAGTTTGCATTTACATAAGAAATAGCGTAACTCAGAAGGAATGGGAAGTTGGTGATTGGTAACAAGTCTCAATTAAACAGCCTCCTCACTTCTATACAACTGATAAAGCTCCAGTGCAGTTGCATAAGTTCCATAAGCTCGGTCAACACAGAAGTACCTCTATGACTGCACTGCCTTCAGGTTTGTTGTTTTCCACCAACAGTTATCTGAAACTCGTCATCTTATTCAATGCACCAACATAGGCTCGGACACTGGAGATAACAATATCCATATCTGCTCCAGTTCCACTGGAAGAAGAAAGTAGTTTTAAAAGACATCTCTAGTAAGAGAAAGGAAAGGTGATGTTTTATGGACTTAACAAACAAATGTTGATTGTATATATGTTCGACACAAGATTGACATCCAGCCAAGCATGTATAATACGAATTTTGACTCCTCTACTTGGTGCACACATTGTCACTCTTGTTCCTTTTGGACAAGTCGAATGGAAAAAAGTAAGATTGAAAAAAGAACTTGGGGGAACAGGAGTAACAGTTGGGAGCAGTACTTGGAAAACCTGGGGGTGCAGGTGGGGGGTTGCAGTGATGACTAGTGAGGAAACACATAGGGTGAGGGCAGTTAATGGAGAAAAGAAGCAAGGGGCATGTAGACGAATGGTGAAGAGGAGGGGAGAATGGTGCAGCGGAAACATGGATCTTACACCTACTGTGGTTATGCTTCAGCTGATATATTCATGCTATACAAATATTTTCCATTTAAATATCCAAAGCTTATACTCTCATAGTTCTCATACAGCATTTATCTATTTGGGTGTTGAACCAAAATCTGAGCTCTACACAGTTAGCTTTATTGAAAACATATAAATTTTGCTCATTTCACTTTAGTGTCATGTCCTCAGTTCTAAAATTTGTTGTGTCAACACCTGCATGCCCCCTCCCTCTCTCTCCATGTTCCCTAGGTTCTATCATAGAAAGAGGGTTAAGAAGAATAAATGCAAACAAGGCTGGTAAATTTCATACCTAAATGTACGGTGAACAGTCTCTCCAGTAAAAGCATGTATGGCCATTCTATTCTCTCCACAAATTAAGACTGGTTGAAATTATAGCATCTATACTTTGTGTGACTGAATTCATGGTATACTCAAGGAGTGTTACAGGTACCTGCACAAAATGCACGAACACTACAATTACCAGACCATAATACACTAAACCAAAAGATGATCAAATAGAAGACAAGTTTGACTGCTGATTTAGAGGCAAACACCATCTTCTAAAACAAAAAAACAGGTTCTCTCTAGTTATATAGTTAAGCTTCTAAGTCAAATTCAAATTTAGTTTTACTTCTTTTTGGAAATTATTTTAAAGCTAGTAGGTTGATCAATTATGTGGAAAATGATAAAACTGCTCTTAATAGACATCTTCACAGTACAAAAACAAACACAACCAGTGTAATCCCACAAGTGGGGTCCGGGGAGGGTGGTGTACGCAGCCTTGCCCCTACCTTGTGAAGGTAGAGAGGTTGTTTCCAATAGACCTTCAGCAATAGCTTCACCGTACATTACAGCAAATTAGCTGGCATTTGTTATGTAGGACTTTGGGTTGTCTGCTGATGTCATCATTGAATGCAGCACTAGATGCTGAGTTAGGCTTTAGAAAAGGACTCCATATGAGGGTATTAATTTTGGAGAGGAACTCTAGTCTTAGTTTTTAAGAACAGCATATACTTGGGTTGACCTGACTTCTTCTACAACAAGAATACCGTTACAAGGGTTCTTAGGGAAAACATAGAAGACCTTGGCTACTTAAATAAGCAAGAAACTCACAAATCAGAGAGGAGAAATAAACTAATGACTACCTCCTCACAATTGATACTTGCCCTCCTCCTTTTTCCGGGCTTGGGACCGGCTGTGACTTGACAGGCAGAGTTACAAGGGTTCCACACAAAAACAATGCCCCAAGTATGCCAAAACTATGACTACTGAGCAACAAAACAAAACAAAACAAAATGCAGCTCTACCAATAATCCAAGGACAAACATAGAGGACCATAGCATTACCAAGAAACTCTCAGATCAAAGGGGATGATTTCCTCCTAACAAAATCTAGGACATACACACTCAGACAACTAGTAATGAAGGCAATAAACTAACGAGCAAAACTGATTTTCTCCATGGAAAGGAAAATTCCCAGAACTTGTACCCAGTGCAAATACTAGCGTCCAGTTCTAACAAAATAACAGCCCAGACAATTCCGACCACACACCAAACTGCCCAAGTTCAAAACCTGAAAAATAATAGACAAATATAGTAAAAAGGAAAGCAACATCAAGATTGATCAACTAGGAAAGATGGTATTACATAACACCTGGAACCAAATGAAGAAAGCAGCTTGGGACACCAACTCTATATATAAAGCAACTACTTGGAAAACTGATGACAAACACACAGAAGAACGAGAATCTAAAAAAGATGTCAAAGCACATAGACTGTTAATCTGTAAATAGAAGACCTAAGCAAGCTGTGTGCAAACCAAAATCTAACACCTTTTTTCACGTAGGCAAAATTATGAAAGAAAGGAGGATAAGAAACCCGTATCCCTTAAGGAACTGTATGTCATCAAACATGTTCAAAGGGAGAATCTCAGACCTAGCCAGAATTCAAAGATAAGGCTGGATGGAGACTACAAACCTTAAAACTTGACAATACGTAAAAGCCACAGCCACAGCCCCGAAAGTGTAGAGAATTCTTGCATTCTTGATTGCTAATTATGGAAAGTAATAACATGATACGTCAAGGCAAAGAGGAGAGAGAGATTAGCTCTACTTTTCATTGCCAAGGATTTCTGTTCAAATTCTTGATTGCTAAATATGGAAAGTAGAAGGAAACCTTAAGTGAAAAAGGAGAGAGAATCAGCTCTACTTGTCATTGCCAACTATTTGTGTTCTAATGAACCGACAAAATCCGATTGCAGGATCAACTAAATATGGAAAGTAGAAGGAAACCTTAAGTGAAAGAGGAGAGAGAATCAGCTCTACTTGTCATTGCCAACTATTTGTGTTCTAATGAACCGACAAAATCCGATTGCAGGATCAACTAAATATGGAAAGTAGAAGGAAACCTTAAGTGAAAGAGGAGAGAGAATCAGCTCTACTTGTCATTGCCAACTATTTGTGTTCTAATGAACCGACAAAATCCGATTGCAGGATCAACTAAATATGGAAAGTAGAAGGAAACCTTAAGTGAAAGAGGAGAGAGAATCAGCTCTACTTATCATTACCAACTATTTGTGTTCTAATGAATCGACAAAATCCGATGCAGGATTGCTCTGAAATTGCACCCCTATATCCCTCAAAATTCTCCAAGACCCATATTCAGCAATATAATATCTACTATGATAAGACTAAAAATAACCCCAATTAGTCAAGTGGAAAAAACTCCACCAACATTTACAGAGACTAGACAAGCCAGAGATTAACCAAAAACATATGCTTACAGATTAATAGAGGTAAAACAAAGTCCAAAGATTCTACCATCTGCAATGCGGGAGAACACCACCAAATGAAAAGAACAAAGGTGATCAAAGCATCACATAAAAGAGACCAGGCAACCTCCTTTTTTCTAGAAGCCAGAAAAACTTACAATGGGAGCACAAAAAACAACTAACTCAGAACTGGAGATAAACATCCCTAACATCATTACAGAAATTGTCTACTTAAAAAGCAAATGAAGTTGGATAGCTTCTCATTTGTTATTGCTCAATCCTTCTATAGCAGATATTGGTGCACAGACCCCTTTCTTTGGTGTTCCAACAAACAAAAAAATGTAGAAGCAGACTGAACAAATAACATAAGACAGTCGACATAATCTGTCTGGATCAATAAATTTACTTTCAAGTCAGGTCATTAGGCCACATTTCACCACTTTAAGCATATTGCTTTCAATACAATGCCCATCTTGGCAAATCAACCCCTCAAATGTGATAAAATGCCTAAAACTGAGTAAAACTCGAAAATGATGTAATTCAAGTCATAAAATGCATATCAGCTAAAATCCACATCTCAAGTTCCACATCTAATACAATGTGCACACACAACTAACCCTGCAAAAGCATAACCCTGGCAAAACCAATTCGGCATTGCTCTCAAAATCCAGTAGTTCAGTTACTAGTATTTTAGGTCCGCACATTTTGCACATGAAATTAGTCTCTCAACATAAGAACAAAATAAGTAAACACATACCTTGTTGAGAATAACGGACACCCTCCCAAAAGCTAGCAGTAAAAACTCTCCAACAGCTTTAAGTGCACAGGAGAAGCAATATCCCTTGAACACTTCGCCACCTCCTTTTTTAAGGCTTAGAACTGGTAGATTTGAGGCCTACAAGCCACGCAGGAAAAGCTGCACCTGTACCCACTTTTGTTATTATTGACTGAGATGAAAATAAAATAATACTCCACAAATGATCTTAGGGCAACCATAGAAGACCTTGGCTACTTAAATTAGATAGAACCTCTCAAATCAGAGAGGAGGAAGAAAACAATGACTACCTCCTCACCATTGATACTTGCCCTCCTCCTTTTCCCGGGCTTGGGACTGGCTGACTTGACAGGCAGAGTTACAAGAGTACCACACAAAAATAATGCACTAAGTATGCCATGACTATGACTACTCAGCAACAAAACAAAACAAAGAAACTCTCAGATCAAAGGGGATAATTTCCTCCTAACAAAATCTAGGACATACACACGGATAACTAGTGATGAAGGCAATGAAGTGACATGCAAAACAGAATGTCTCCATGGAAAGGAAAATTCCCAGAACTTGTACCTAATGCAAAAGCTACCATTTATCTCATCCAAGTCCAATTCTAACAACATAAAAGCCGAAACAAAACCAACCACACACCACACTGCCCAAGATCAAAACCAGAAAAATAACAGACAAATACAGAACAAATGAAAGAAATCAACTAGGAAAAAATGATAACACATAACACCTGGAACCAAATGAAGAAAGCAACCCCGGACACAAACTATATATAAAGCAACTACTTGGAAAATGATGACATACACACAAAAGAACGTGAATCTAAAAGAGATGTCAAAGCACATAGATAGCTAATTTGTTAATAGAAGACCTAAGCAAGCTGTGTGCAAATCAAAACTTAACACCTTTTTCACGTAAATGAAATCATGGAAGTAAAGAGGATAACAACCCGTATCCCTCAAGGAACTGTATGTCATCAAACATGTTCGAACGGAGCATCTCAGACCTAGCTAGAATTCAAAGAGAAGGCCGAATGGAGACTACAAACCTTAAAACCTGATACTACGTAAAAGCCACAACCACAGCCCTGAAAGTGTAGAGAACTCTTGCATTCTTAATTGCTAAATATGGAAAGTAATAACAGGATACGACAAGGGAAAGAGGAGAGAGAGATTAGCTCGTCATTTCATTGTCAAGTATCTGTGTTTTAATTCTTGATTGCTAAATATGAAAAGTAGAAGGATACCTCATGTGAAAGAGAAGAGAGAATCAGCTCTACTTATCATTGCCAACTATTTGTGTTCAATAAACTCACAAAATCAGATGCAGGATTGTATATTATCTTTCGTATTGGATGGTATGTATATACACTGTCTTCCTCGCCTTTTACTTGGATTTGATGTACCTGAGCTGAGGGTCTTCCGGAAACAGCCTCTCTACCTCGCACGAGGTAGTGGCAAGGTCTGCGTACACTCTACCCTCCCCAGACCCCACCTAGTGGGATTTCACTGGGTATGTTGTTGTTGTTGTTGTTGTTGTAATAAGACTGAAAATAACCCCAATTAGTCAAGTGGCAAAAGTGCCACCAACATTTACTCTCAAAATGTAGGTAAAAAGAGACCAAGATTCAAGACATAAAATGCATATCACAGCTAAAATCCAAATCTCAAGTTCCACTTCCACATCTAATACAATGTGCACACACAACTAACCCTGCAAAAGCATAACCCTGGCAAAACCAATTCGGCATTGCTCTCAAAATCCAGTAGTTCAGTTACTAGTATTTTAGGTCCGCACATTTTGCACATGAAATTAGTCTCTCAACGTAAGAACAAAATAAGTAAACATATACCTTGTTGAGAATAACGGACACCCTCCCAAAAGCTAGAGTAAAAACTCTCCAACAGCTTTAAGTGCACAGGAGAAGCAATATCCCTTGAACACTTCGCCACCTCCTTTTTTAAGGCTTAGAACTTGTAGATTTGAGGCCTACAAGCCATGCAGGAAAAGCTGCACCTGTACCCACTTTTGTTATTATTGACTGAGATGAAAATAAAATAATACTCCACAAGTGATCTTAGGGCAAACATAGAAGACCTTGGCTACTTAAATTAGATAGAACCTCACAAAATCAGAGAGGAAGAATAAAGAAAATAATGACTATCTCCTCACAATTGATACTTGCCCTCCTCCTTTTTACGGGCTTGGGACGGGCTGTGACTTGACAGGCGGAGTTAGAAGTGTTTCACACAAAAACAAGGCACCAAGTATGCCAAAACTATGACTACTGAGCAACAAAACAAAAACAAAACAAAATGCAGCTCTACCAAAAATCCAAGGACAAACATAAAAGACCATAGAATTACCTAAAAGCTCAGATCAAAGGAAATAATTTCCTCCTAACAAAATCAAGGACATACACACTCGGACAACTAGGAATGAAAGCAATAAAGAAACATGCAAAACTGATTTTCTCCATGGAAAGGAAAATTCCAAGAACTTGTACCCAGTGCAAATACTAGCATTGATCTCATCAAAGTCCAATTCTAACAACATAACAACCCAGACAATACCGCCACACACCACACGGCCCAAGATCAAAACCTAAAAAATAATAGACAAACACAGAACAAAGGAAAGCAACATCAATATTGATCAACTAGGAAAGATGGTGTCACATTACTCCTGGAACCAAATGAAGAAAGCAGCTCCGGACATCAACTCTATATATAAAGCAACTACTTGGAAAACTGATGACAAACACAAAAAAGAACATGAACCTAAAAAAGATGTCAAAGCACATAGATTGCTAATCTGTAAATAGAAGACCTAAGCAAGTTGTGTGCAAACCAAATACCATTTCTGGTGCCCAGCAGAGAAGCTGAGTAAGCATGATTTGGAAACTATTGACAATAAACAGAGGCAACTTATTGAATAAAACATTGTGTCGTAGCGAGCCACCGCCATGAAAGTGATTTCGGCCCGACCATGGTGTAAATTGTTTGAGACTGGTTGCTCCCCAAGGTACAAGCGCAATCCCAAACACGTGCACTCGTGGTTGAAAGTTTGGAGTTAGCAGAAATACGATTGCCCAAAAATAGAATTGAGAAGAACAACTTTGAGGAAATGAGAATGGCTTTTTTTCTGTATTTGATAATTCACACAGATCCGCTTTTATAGGCCAATCTGCTAGAGTTGTTATGAAAGAAACAACTACAACTTAACACGAATTAATTTGTAGCTGTTACAAAAAATAAACTGTGTTGTTTCCGGACTTATTCAAGTAGCAGTTACAAAATTCATTTTGCAGCAGTTGCACCACGCACGCCTCACGAGCTGAGTCAGCCGAATGGAGGGGGCAGCGACATGCGTGTGGTTGCCAAGTTTTACCTCCACAAGCATGGAGGAAACTCAACTAATCCCATAAAGAAAGAAGTTGGTGTATAAAGTGCTCAAAATGAATTTAATCTTTCTAAATGGAACTTTTGTCTATTACACAAGACAAAGCAGTGCAAAAGGGAGCGACAAACAATTCTATGACTTCACATTACCAACGAATTTTGAATAAAACCAACAATTCCCCACTAAGGCAAAGGTAACAATTTGTGATCAAATGAAGTTATATGAGCCTTCAATATGCACTACATTTTCCTATCCCTCTGACGTCTCCTGGTACTTTGTAAGATTGAGCTCATTTTGCACTTAATGCATGTGTTGAGACAGACTTGAATCACCTACATGAGTATAAAGGTTTGGTTGCCTTTTACGGAAGACTTGGGTAGTCTTTTTAAAGGGCTCACGAGACCCAAAGTGTGTGCATGACTGTAAAAACACTTTGTTAGTATCATGGTGTTAGCATAAAATTAAGGACATAACATTTCCTATGGATGGGTTGCACCAAGAATCAACCCTTAGCCCATTTTATTTATCTTGGTGATGGATGCATTGATGCACAACTTGCATAGTTCTGATTTACGAGACTCATGACAGAGTAAATGCTAAGCACGAGGTTTGGAGACAAACCTTGGAGTCTAAAGGTTTCAGGTTAAGGCAGTGAGCAATACCAAGACAAAATGTCTTAGGTGTTGAGACTTGACTTGAAAAATAATTATTACCTCTATTACTTGATAAATTAAAAAAGAAATTGGCATTCAAAGCTGATATATTCATGCTATACAAATAGTTTCCATTTAAATATCCAAGCTTATCATCTATCATAGTTCTCATACACCATTTATCTACTTGTGTGTTGAACCAAAATCTGAGCTCTACACAGTTAGCTTTATTGAAAACCTATAAGTTCGCTCATTTCACTATGGTGTCATGTCCTCAGTTCGATAATTTATTGTGTCAACACCTGCACGCCCCCTCCCTCTCTCTTCACGTTCCCTAGGTTCTATCAGAGAACGAGGGCAAAGAATAATAAACGCAAACAACATGGCTGGTACATTTCATACCTAAATGTACGGTGAATAGTGTCTCCAGTTAAAGCATGGGTTGATGTATCGCCACTCTCTAGTTGAAGCTATAGCATCTATACCTTGTGTGACTGCATTCATGGAATACTCAAGGAGTTCGCTCATTTCACTATGGTGTCATGTCCTCAGTTCGATAATTTATTGTGTCAACACCTGCACACCCCCCTCCCTCTCTCTCCACGTTCCCTAGGTTCTATCAGAGAACGAGGGCAAAGAATAATAAACGCAAACAACATGGCTTGGTACATTTCATACCTAAATGTACGGTGAACAGTGTCTCCAGTTAAAGCATGGGTTGATGTATCGCCACTCTCTAGTTGAAGCTATAGCATCTATACCTTGTGTGACTGCATTCATGGAATACTCAAGGAGTTCGCTCATTTCACTATGGTGTCATGTCCTCAGTTCGATAATTTATTGTGTCAACACCTGCACGCCCCCTCCCTCTCTCTTCTATGGTGTCATGTCCTCAGTTCGATAATTTATTGTGTCAACACCTGCACACCCCCCTCCCTCTCTCTCCACGTTCCCTAGGTTCTATCAGAGAACGAGGGCAAAGAATAATAAACGCAAACAACATGGCTTGGTACATTTCATACCTAAATGTACGGTGAACAGTGTCTCCAGTTAAAGCATGGGTTGATGTATCGCCACTCTCTAGTTGAAGCTATAGCATCTATACCTTGTGTGACTGCATTCATGGAATACTCAAGGAGTTCGCTCATTTCACTATGGTGTCATGTCCTCAGTTCGATAATTTATTGTGTCAACACCTGCACACCCCCCTCCCTCTCTCTCCACGTTCCCTAGGTTCTATCAGAGAACGAGGGCAAAGAATAATAAGCGCAAACAACATGGATGGTACATTTCATACCTAAATGTACGGTGAACAGTGTCTCCAGTTAAAGCATGGGTTGATGTATCGCCACTCTCTAGTTGAAGCTATAGCATCTATACCTTGTGTTACTGCATTCATGGAATACTCAAGGAGTGTTACAGGTACCTGCAAAAAATGCATGAACACTACAATTACCAGACCATAATCCACATTAAGCCAAAAAGATGTTCAAAAGACAAAAGTTTTGACTACTGATTTAGAGACAAACACCATCTTTCTAAAACAAAAAACTTAGGTTCTCTATAGATACATAGTTAACTGCTTCTAAGTCAAATTCAAAACATAAAAAATCCTACTCAAAATGCATATCAAATACAATAGGAGCACAAAAAACAACCTCAGAACTGGAGATGAACATCCCTAACATCATTACAGAAATTGTCTCCTTAAAAAGCAAATGAAGTTGCATAACTTCTCATTTGTTATGGCTCAATCCTTCTATAAGCAGATATTAGTGCATAGACCGATTTCTTTGGTGTTATAACAGACGAAAAATTATAGATAAGACAAACAACTTTAATTTATCTTGTCATCTTTTGTCAATCTTGCTTTTTATCTTGTCTGGTGGCCCTTTATTCTAGCTGGACAGCTGGAATTACGTTATCTTCTCCATAACACTTTGAACATTGATGATCTGGGTATCTGTGTCCAATAGTCTTGCAATATTTTGTCATTATCTCTGGTGAAATAAAATTCTTCCGTATCGCTCTTATAGTTGGCTGTTGTTTTGGTTTTAATAAGCTTAGTATCCATTGTCGTATATCTTCCATATCTGCTTCTCTAATTTCTCTGGAATTTGAATATATCATAGTTTGCTCTCTTGCATAATAGTTCCATACTGAATTTCCATTTAAATAATTTGTTGTTAATTCGTTTAAAATAGTAGCTATTCCAATAATTCGCTTTCTGGCATAAAATTCTAGGTATCTCTATTTTTTGTATCTCGTCTTGTCGTTCTATTTTTTCTGGTATTATCATTTCTCTGGTTAATCTGATTTTATAACTTGTATGATAGGTTAATTTCATCATACAATATTTCTGTTGGTGCTGAATAGAACTTTATATAAAAGAGTGTTCCTTTAGTTATCCTTTTATAATGCATAAATGCCTTGTGTAACTCTGATATTGTTGATATCTCATCTCCTGTTTGGATATATACGGTATTTAATAGTCCATAGTTGTAGCAAGTTCCTACTAGATTGGTACTTGTTCCCGGTTGTGCAATCAGCTTATTATATCCCTATAGATTTTGTGTAATATAATCTTCATGGGTTTTTTTGTATTTTTGGATCTTGGATTCTGGTTTAGAAAAGTCTGTATTTTGTGGATGTTTTCTATGTAGGCTCTGGTTATATGGTTATAAGTCTTTTTGTTTTGTCCTAGGCTTTCTTTATATGTATTTAGCTGAGGTGGTATGAATAATGGATCTTTTTGGTTCTTTGGCATAAATGGTTTTTACAAATATTTTATTAATATTAGTATTAACATATCTGGTTCTATTTTCTTCTTTTGTTGCAGATGTGCTTCCTGTAGCTACATGTAACAAATCATTATGGGTTTTTAGGTA